TATGGGATACGTTGGGCATTACTCACGTGGCGACAGTTCCTGGAAGGCAACAAAATCCCCTTCCAGGTGTGGACTGATCACAAAAATTTAGAAGCCCTGAAAACTTCCAGGAAACTCAATCCCAAACAAGCCCGCTGGTCCCAGCATTTTCACCAATTCCAATTTAAGCTCAAACATTTACCAGGAAGAAAGAACTTCCTGGCAGATGCACTATCTCGCATGCCCCAATATAACAGCGCACGAACCACAGACTCTAGACCAATAATGGCAGAGTCACAACTGGCAGCGCCAGTAACCACAAGAACCCAAGCCAAAATAAAACCACAACTGGACAGCCAAACTGGGATTGAATTCAGAAAAAGTTTGGAAACAGATGAATGGTTCCAGAAAAACAAACATGTGTGCACAATGAGAGACGGATTGCCTTGGGTAGGGGAAAAGTTATATATACCAACAACTCAAAGACTAACTTTCATGCACCTTTGCCATGACACAAAATCAGCAGGGCATTTTGGATTTGTAAAAACTTTACACTTAATTAAACGGCAATTTTGGTGGCCATCAATAAAAAAAGGACATAGAAAGTTATGTTGCCAGCTGCCCAACCTGTGCATCAGCAAAGAGGTTGCAAGGGAAATCGCCAGGGCTATTACAACCAGTGGCAAGTCCCTCAGCCCCCTGGAGGGAAATAGCCATGGATTTTATAGTGGAATTGCCAGAAAGCAATGGGAATACTGTTATCTGGACAGTCACGGACCTATTTTCCAAACAGGTACACTTTATCCCTTGCCAAAAAATTCCCACTGCAAAGGCCTTAGCAAAACTTTTCATCCAGCACATTTACAGATTGCACGGGGCACCCCAACGCATCATCTCTGATAGGGGAGTGCAATTTACGTCTGCATTTTGGAAGGAATTTTTATCCCTCTTAGGGACCACTCAGGGATTGACATCTAGCCACCACCCTCAAGGAGATGGACAAGCGGAACGCTGCCAGTCGGTACTTGAGCAATATTTGAGATGTTTTTTAAATTTCCAACAGAGTGATTGGACGGACTTACTTCCTTTTGCAGAAGTTGCCTACAATAATGCAGTCCACTCCAGCACAGGCTACACTCCTTTTCAAATAGCCAACGGTCAAAGTTTCAACCCTATGCCAGAGTTAACCCCAAAGAACCAACGATCCCTTCACTGAAAGAATGGATGGAAAACCTACAAAACACCTGGCCAATAGTCAGAAAATCACTAGATGAAGCTAGGCGGGCATACAAAGCACAAGCCGATAAAAAAAGGGTTGAGCCTACACCATTCATTATAGGAGAAATGGTGTACTTATCTACAAAATACCTAAAGTCCCTACAGCCCTGTAAAAAACTTGGACCAAAATATATAGGACCTTTTCCAATTAAAAGGATCATAAATCCAGTAACAGTAGAATTAGAATTACCCAAAAACCTCAGGCAAATACACCCAATTTTTCATTGCAGCTTGCTGAAAAGAGAGCATCAGTCACCTCTACGGCCAAAAATCCCCCCCCCACCACCTCCACTCATGGTGGAGGGTGAACAACACTTCGAAATAAAGGAAATCCTTGATTCTAGGAGATATCATGGAGCAACTCAGTACCTAGTTGCCTGGAAACACCTCCCTCCCTCACAAAATGAGTGGGTCCATAAACGTCATGTCAGAGCCCCGAAGCTATTGAAGAAGTTTCACACAGAGTATCCTAACAAGCCTGACTAAATTTTATACTTGTGTTTTCTTTCAGGTGGATCTCTCTTATTGTTAAGAGGGGCCGGATGTCAGAATCCAATTATATTTCATCTTTAAATTATCAAATATAGAAACTCCCAATTCTGCCTTCTCTGGATTCTGCCATAAGAGGGAGAGAAGAGGGAGAACAAAGGGGCTTTATGGCCCTCACTTCCTTCTTTACACTTCAAAGAGCTGAATGCTGAATGTGTGTTTATTGTAACCTCGAAGCGTTAACATACCAAAGGAGGGTAGTTGCCTTTCATGTAGTTATCTGAAGTCCCCATGCAGACGGAAGAAAGAAGAAAGGGGGTGGAATTGTGATACTTGAAACTATCACTGGAAGGGGGGTTGATTGGGTGGGACTACTGGGGAACCCCTTAAAACCTTGAATGGAAGAGCTTGAACCCCAAGTCCTGTCTAGCATGCCTGCAACCATTTTCTCTTAATAAAGGATTCCTGTTGGAAGAATTATTCCAAGAGTTCTGTCTTCTTAAGATGCAAAGTGGGGTGGGTCCTTACAGTAGCAGAACAAAGCAAAAGAAATGCATCCCAGCGCCCACAAATTCCAGAAAGGGATTTCTTGAAGTGTGCTGACAAAATTCACAGCAGATACTAAAGGAGGAGGAATTGATCTGTAGTTCTACGAGAGCAATTCAGAAATAAACCTCTGTTTGGTTATCAATGACAGACACTCGCAGATACAGAACTTGTATTATACACATTAGAAAACTACATTACATTACTTTTTGTCATAATTGCCATTCAAATTGAGGCACTTGTCATAACATCTTACAAAGTTTGAAATTCCTTCTGCAAAAAAAATCTCCTGCCTGAGAATGAAGCCACCCTGCAACAGCATCGTGAATCGCATTGTCATCGTCGAAGCAGTGTGACGCAAGCCACTATTTCATTGAAAAAAACTGGTCCATTTTCAAATCAATGAGTCAACTGCAACACAACCTTTTCCATTCATTCCTCACTGCCTACTGAACTACTGTGCATGGCGCCCTAGGATGGGCGTCACTATCCCTGCCTCTTTCTTACACATGCTCAAACAGAGGTTTATTTCCAAATTGCCCTTGTATTTGATTAAGGAGAAACATATTAAAGCAGATCAAGAATGGCTCTGATTCATTATTATTTGCCAATGGTAACACACTTTCCCCTCACCATACTTCATAAAGACTATATCAATTGTCAAAATAACAAAGCACGCTTTAATTCTTACAGCTTCAGACCAGAATAATTCAGTTTCCCCAAAGTCTTTTTATGAATTTGCATTTCAGTCGCCCTTCATTAGGAAAGCTCAAAGAGTTAAAATTGTGCTGAAATAAATATTAGCATAATGCCCAAGGTCACAATTTCCTTACCTAGCTAGAACACTTGGCAGAAAATATGCTGAATTTAAAATTGCAGAATAACTCATTAGGAAATATGCAGTAACCATGGCAAGATTTACTACAAATATGCTAGGAGTGGCTTTTAAAATTAATATTATGCTGCAATGCTTGGATTAATTAACTTTCTTCTTCATTTACAAAGCATATCTGTCTCTTTTATGAACTTAAGTTTCTTTTCTTTTCCTTGTAAACCTATTTAATTAAAGTCTTAACAACTATGTAAGATTTAGGAACAGTAGAATGATTTTTATTTCAGACCTAAAATCATTCTTTTACATATCCTTGTTCTGTGTCTGTATTACACTGGGAACAAACCCAGTAGTGCAGTCATAATGTACCAAAATTAAGACATACTTTTCTGCCAGACCACCCCGCATGTGCTTCCCATCTCTGATACTTTGCCAATATTTTTTTTCTGAACCTTAAAGATGGCTTCACTGGCACAGAAATTATGACTACCTCATCTAGATGCCCAAACTATCTTCTCAGATACATAAAAACTCACTTTTTCTTTTAGCATACATTGATATCTAATCTCTGCGTTGATTGCCTTGTTCACCAATTTATTTAGTTCTAAAGTAATTTATTAGTCTTTAACAATAGTCACTGAGCTTCGGCTTTTATTTACAGAAAATTCTATTAAAATCTCTTTCAATTGCATGTATCACTTATTCTTTGTGGTATAAAGGAAGATTTAGTGGTGATTTATTTTTTGCTATATGTAAAATGGAAAACTACTATTTGAAATGCTGTTTGGGATGTATAAGGAACCTCAAAAGTGAGTTTTATTTTATTTCATTGCCTTTATTTAGCCTGTCCTTTAGAAAGATTATAGGTATGATGATATAACATATCTGCAAAAGTTGTGACTGAAACAGCACCTAGCTTTGTGTATTAAAACTCAAACTGAAAATAAACTCTTAGAAATACTTAAGTTCTACAAATGTGGTTCACGGAGCTATTCTACAAATCTGTAAAACTTGACAGCAGGGCCAAAAGATGTGTTAACTGGGATGTGTAGCCAAATATTCTGGCTGAGCATTCTGGAAATTATAGTGCAACACATCCAATGGATATTAGGTTGGGCGGATTTTTTGACACCTTAAACCCAAAAGGAAAGGGGAGAGAGAAAAGAGACAGTGAGAAATAAAGGAGCAGTGAGTGCATCAAATAGTTCTCTCCTTACTCCCTCCATACACACATATGAACAAACAGAGATCTACATATAGATTTGAATAAACATTCTAAACTTTTAGGATGTAGTTTCTCAAAGTGAAAGAGCATTAACAAGGCTGAAAACAGTACCAGAGAAGTTCTAAATGAGTATTCAATTTTTCATTAATTAAGCAACTCCTCCAGGAAAAGACAGGAGAGGTTATTGCTGAAGAAATTATCAGACTAATCTGATAGGTTAGTCTCTCAGGCCAAATGGAGATAGATATGCTGAAAAGGAGGAAGATGACTCGATTTAACACCTCTGGTTCCTGTCGTACTCCCCAATTTCCCACAAAACTTCTTCATATCTCTAATAATCTTCCCCTCCCAAGTGCCCTTCCTCCCTGGTTATGGCAGTTGCTAGCAAGCTTCAAAGAAGGTGAAGATAGGCAGCTGACACATTGTTCCAAATTGAAACAACTGTGACTTGAAGACTGGTGACTATCTTTGTCTTAAAACTCCTTCCTTTCTCATTAAAAAAAAGAAGAAAGTATAGATTGGTAACTTCGTTAGTAATACATATCCATATGTGACAGAAAATGATGGTTGTCTGGGATACCATTCAAATTCTACTAAAAAGGTGCTAGAATATTCTCACAAAAGTCAGAGATGACAATGTATAATACTTACTTGATGATGTCCCCTTCAAGAGCAATCACTCGTTTAATGATCTTCTGTTCTGGGTTTTTTGGAGACCTAGGTGAAAAATGGGAGGGACCATTATTCATTCAGCAGGGTTCTCATTGTTTAAAAAAAATGAAGAGGAAAAACCAGACTGAGAATGAGGACTGTGCAGATTTTGTTATTCTGCCTGATATGGCATCTATCATTGCAGAAGTGAAGCTATTACTATCACTGTCATGTCAATCTACTGTGTGAGAAAGGGGGCAAGAGCCAGAAAAAAAATCATTAAATCCCAAGAACAAGGTAATATATTCTCTTCTTGTTGTAAAATAAATTTAAAAAATATTCATTGGTGATCAAATTAATGTCCTGTTATAGAGAATGCTGAGATGGATTCAGATATTTAAAGATGATTTTACTACTAAGCGGCAACACAGTAGCATACATAAACAACTATGTTAGTCATTTTACTTCAAAGATATAAGACATTCCACTAAATTAAAAAAAGAGTACATTCATCAGCTTCTTGTAATACTGATTGTATAATATAATGGTAAGAAATTGGACAGATAGTTCTCGTTTAGCAAATTGTTCATAGTTACAACAGCCTTCATAGATCTATAAAGCAAAGGAAAGCTGAAGTGAGATCATCAGCACTGTGATGACCCAAGGCCCCGCACGGAGGCAAAGCAGTCAGTTGGCAAGAGAAACAGTCCTTTAATAATTGCCAATGTTCCCCAAAAGCTCCCACATATGCTGGCAAGCCTTCAATCAAAGCACACACACACACACACATTCCTTTCAGCTGCCTCTGGCTGAAGGCAATTTCAATACAGCCGGAGAAGTATACAATGTTCTCAAGGCCAGGCAGATAACAAGAAAACAAAACAGAAACTTAATGAATCCTTTAAAATCTCAGCTTATCTGCAGTCTGCAAGGAGAGACTCAGAAATGCAGCCTGCGGTCATAAAGCAGGAAACCAGCCAATCCGTTATTCAAGGTGTCCAGGTTAAACAAAGACAAGAGCACAATTCACAACTGTCCCAAGATACCACATTTGTTCCCAGCAAATGCCCCACCCCACAGCATCTCCTTAAATCTTAATCCCCAAATGTGCCTTGTGGAGTGGGGCGGGCCGCTCTCCTCCTGAGCCATTGAGCCTGCTTATGTTGTTCTCTCCTTGTCTCTGTTCTCTTTGCTCTAGGATCAGGTGGGGGGGCCTTGCTCCTCACCTGAACTCTGCCTCCCCTGTTCCAAACCTGAAGGGCCCTGGCCTGTCTCAGACTGCTCTTCCCCACAGTCCTCTGAAGCCACAGACACCTCCTCCTGGGCCTCAACAGGGTCCTGCTCCAGTTCCATGTCCTCCTCGGATTCAGGCTCGGAAGGAGGCATGACAAGCACAGAGTTTCACTCAGTGATTGCTTCACTTAACACTCAAATTGACATTCCCAATTGTGGTTGCTAAACTTATATCCTTTGCTTGATAGTATCTAAAAATTCCACCTAGTGGCAGAAAAAAGTTAACAAGTATTTTAAGAAATTAAATACATGTACATACATACATACATACATACATACGTACATACATACTTACATATTTCAAAGTGATTCATAGATATATATGGTTATATTTCATAGAGGTCAGTGCTTCATAGAGGTCAGTGGGAATTATATATATCACATTTCCCCAAAAATAAGACCCAACCAGAAAATAAGGCCTAGTATGATTTTTCAGGATGCTCGTAATATAAGCCCTACCTCAAAAGTAAGCCCCAGCATTATGGTTTCCCTGGTGGGAGGGTGGCCAGCTCGACATTGCTTGCATTGGTTGGGTGTCTGGGGAGCCCATGAGGAGCTGGGGGGATCCATGGGTCTCCAGCGGGGGGGGGCAGGATCAGGGCAGGCACCAGGACCTGATCCAATGGAAGAGCTTTGCTGACTCTCTCAAGCTGTGTGGGGCAGCTCTGGGGCTGGGCTCAGGTGGGAGGGGAAGTCCCAGCTGCCTCTTGGGGATGGGGGCTCTCCGCCTTTCCTGTTCACTGGGGCTGTCATGGGTGGGGCAATGGTCAGCAGGCTTGCTGGAGAATGAGATTGAATGGCGGGGGCCGAGCATGCAGGGGCCACGGTGTGGCTCGGCCTGCTAAACCTCACTTCACTAAATCGGAGAGAACTTCAGCAGACAGCATACACCAGGCTGAAGAGGAGCCCTCCTATAAACTAATAACCAAACTGGGCAGAGCCTGCCAATAAACCAAAAAACAATGGTCGGTGCTCCTTTCTCCTTTCAGAGTGGGGCAAAACTTTTGCAGTCCAGTGAACTCACAGTGTTGAGATGCCACACATGGCAATTGAAATTTACCCAGCTGCTGTCTCAAAGCCATGTTTGTAGATCCTCTGCAAGAAAAAAAACAGTCCCGGAGAAGAACAAGCAATGAGAAAGAAAGAAAGCCTGCCCCTCGCGGGTGGAAATAAATGAGAAAGTGGTAGTTGAAGGAAGAGGGTGGGATTAGGATTGCATGCTGCGAATGTGGGGACAGAACTGAATCACTGAGGCTTTGAGGCAGAACTGGAAAGATATGTGGGGAGCTTGGGCTGTGCTGAAGGAAAAGGAGAGTGTTCCCTGAATTAGATTCACTAATATTCTAGTCAAGGGACAGTGTAAAAGCTGAAACCACATTCACTGGTCATCTCGGACTAAATGGCTTTGGTGCGGTAACAGTATCTTATATCTCATTTGTAACATGCAAAACTCCATAGTTCCTGTGCCTCCATCCCCCTGTGCCTCTGCCTCCACCTGCTGCCAGTGCTGCTACCATGGGGTGAGGCAGGTGGGGTAGAGGTAGCACCATGCCATGCTCCTGCATGCTCCACCTGTTAAATCTCATTTTGCTAAATTGATCAACTAGAATTCACATAACAAACTAGCCATCAATCACCTTGCTTCCTGCAAAGCTAGATTGAAGTCCTTGGACCACTCCTTTAAGCCCATTTTGGAGCTGGTCCAAAAGCAAAGGGAATGGTTCCCATCCCAAATGAAGCTGTGGGTCTTCATTTCCAAAGACCCTCTGCACAGAATAGAATAGAGCTGGAAGGGACCTTGGAGGTCTTCTAGTTCAGCCCCCTGCTCAAGCAGGAGAAGCTATACCATCTCAGACAGGTGAATGTCTAGTCTCTTCTTGAAAATTTCCAGTGATGGAGTGCCCACAATTTCTGGAGGCAAGCTATTCCACTGGTTGATTGTCCTCACTGTCAGGAAGTTTCTCCTTAATACCAGGTTGTTTCTCTCTTTGATCAGTTTCCAACCATTGTTTTTCGTCCTTCCCTCTGGTGCTCTGGTGAATAAAGTGAGCCTCTCTTCCTTGTGGCAGCCCCTCAGATACTGGGATACTGCTATCATGTCTCCCCTATTTCTTCTTTTCTTTAGACTAGCCAAACCCAAGTCCCGTAGCCATTCTTCATATGTTTTAGTCTCCAGGCCTTTGATCATCTTAGTTGCTCTTCTCTGATTTTTTTCCAAAGTTTCAACATCTTTTTTGTGATATGGTGACCAAAATTGGCTACAGTATTCCAGGTGTGGTCTTACCAGAGTTTTATGAAGCAATACTAATACATCATGTGATCTTGATTCTATGCCTCTATTTATACAACCCAGGATTGTATTAGATTTTTTGGTTGCTGCTGCACACTGCTGGTTCATGGTTAAGTGACTGTCCACTAGGATTCCAAGGTCCCTCTCACAGTTACTCTTTTTAAGCCAGGTCTCACCCAATCTGTACTTGTACCTTTGATTTTTCCTGACTAAATGTAAAACTTTGCTTTTCTCCACATTGAAACTCATTTTGTTGGATAGGGCCTATTGTTCAAATTTGTCAAGATCTTTTTGGATCCCGAGTTTGTCTTCTGGAGTGTTGGTTACTCCTGTCAGTTTGGTGTCATCTGCAAATTTGATGAGTTTCGCTTCAATTCCTTCCTCTAAGTCATTGACGAAGAATACTGTGCCAAAGACGGAACCTTGTGGGACCCCACTGCTTACTTCTCTCCATGTGGATGTAGTGCCATTGAGGATTACTCATTGAGTACGGTTTGTTAGCCAGCTACAGATCCATCTGGTGGTGATGTTGTCTATTCCACTTTTTCCTAGCTTACCAAGGAGTAGGTTTGGTCTACTTTGCCAAATGCCTTACTGAAATCTAAGTATACTACATGCACTGTGTTTCACTGGTCTACTAGTTTAGCCACTTTATCAAAGAATGAGATTAGATTGGTTTGGCATGATCTGTTTTTAACAAACCTGTGCTAGCTACTAGTTATGACTTTGTTTGCTTCTACAACAAGGCGCCGGACAAACCAAGATCCGGGATTGAAAAAGCAGCAACCGGAGCGAAGGGCTGTTCAAAACAGGAGGAAGAAGAAAAAAGTGGGAGAAGCCACTTCCAAACAGGCGAGGCAAGGCAGTTGGCAGGGCAGGAGCAGTGCCATGCTGCAACCCCTCGTCCTCCAGCTCTACCGTACACACAAGATGAGCCTCCCACCCACTGCCCTACCCATGATGGCCTCGGCCTCCCCCCATGCCTCTGTCTCTGCCTGCTGCCTGGAGGGCAAAAAACTAAGACATCACCTGAAAATAAGCCCTAATGCAGTGGTTCTCAACCTTTTTAATGCCGCGACCCCCAACTGGTTGTAAGTCGAGGACTACTCAACCGGTCGTAAGTCGAGGACTACTCAACTGGTGCAGCACTGTTTGCAGAATGGGACTTTTGGTGGGCTCAGCAGGGCAGAGACAGCCTGGACAATTCCTATTGGCTTTTGAAAGCCGATAGAATTAGACTCTATTCAAGAGAGTCTATTATATTGGCTTTCAAAAGCCAGTAGAATAAAAGGGAGTAGCACAGCTAAGGAAAAGGGGGGAAAAATGGCAGACTGCGTTGTTTGGCGACCCCCGTGAAATGGTCGTTTGACCCCAAATGGGGTCCCGACCCACTGGTTGAGAACCACTGTTTCAGATGGTGATAAACTGCAACTCCCAGCATTCCCCACTCTTGCCCTTTCCCAGCCACCCCCGGGACCTGCCCGCCCGTCCAGCCTCCTGAGCGCCATCGCAGCGGCGGGGTTGCGGGAGTCCCTTTCCACGCTGTGCAGCCCTTCACCACCACGACCCTTCCCCAACTCGTCGCACATGAGAGGGGCACAGCCAGAGTGCCAGCTCCCGCTCGGAAGGCACCGCTTCTCCCCTCCCGGCCCAGCCGGCTGGCCTC